TTAACAACTAATTCACCTAACGATGCAAAAGAATTTAGACAATTTCGTCGGTTTTAAAAAACATTATTCAATTTTAAAGAACATAAATTCAGTTTTGCTCTTAATTGTAGATTATTTTTAGTTAATGCAAACCTTGGTATTCACGAAGTGTTAATTTCGTTTCAAGGTGATACGAAATATCGCGACAGAGTGATTTTGTAGCAGTCATTACTTCAGACCGCGTGGTTCAAGTCCTTGGCGGATCGTACCCTACTTTTGCTGCAATTTGCTACGTGTGATACATCCCACATCGGTTTAAGCCGTCATAAACGAGCCGTTTGCACAGCGATCGGATTAAAAATACCGACGTCAGAAAACGAAACGACTAACCGTAAAAGAATCAATGAAATTTTCTTGGCTGCTGAACAATAGTAGCTAGACTGCGGATGTTTATTCATTTATGGAAATTTAAAATAATTGAATGAATCACAGTTGCGCAGTAATATATAAAGAAATACAGAGAAAATCATAATTTATAATAACTAGGACGTCATAAAATTATAATAATTAGAAACATTTCATTTTCTTAATTTCATTTATAAAAATTTACATAAATATCCGCATTTACAGTAATATCGTTCGCCCTTGGAAAACCTTCTTTGTTATAAATTACCTACTTCTATGTTTCAATCATTTCCAAGAAGAATACAAATATCTAAGCACAGTCTCTGGTTTTAGAACAATGATTTCTTTCTCACGTTTCTAAGAATGCCGTGACGCTGCATAGTATGAATTTTATGCATTTATAAGGATATTCACAGTACAGAAGATAAAAACACTGCACGTCTATAAATCTGTAGTCTATAAAAATATACAGAATATCGAAAACAGATTATTTAATTAAAATAAATGTCTATTTAAAGTACACCTTTCAAATTACTATCATAAATATTTAATATTGCATAAAAATCTTCAGTCTAATGAGTTACAGTGAATGAAAATGATACCATCGAAACTTTAGCTGAAGTTCTAAGAAATAAGGAGATAAATTCAAATTATTTGATGCGATCGACGTGGGAAGTTTGAAATTATCTAGGTTGCCGAGAAAAGCTTCTTCGTAACAGAAACTGAAAGGCAATCTGTGCCTCGGTGATGGCTCGTCATATTTGGGGGAGGGGGTCAATCCCCTTTTACTCAATTACGTCATCTCTCAGACGATATTGTCGAGGCAAGTACACTTTCCAGCGAGCGGAGTCGTTAAACTTAACGGTGATCGTCACGAGAAAAAGTCCACGCAGTTGCTCGTTTCTATGAAACGAAGACGACTGCGGTCTCTATTCGTACTTAAATCGCACTCCGCACATAAATCCTGACCCTAGATAGTATTGCGCGGACAAATAATTGTACAGCAGGAAAATGGACCATCCGTCGCATTTTATCAAACGTTCATTCCCACTGGAATGGACAATGAAAAGATAAGCACGTCCTAAATTATGTATTGAAAATCGAGCAAATTAATTCTTACGTAGAATAACAAATTTATAATTTTGGATTAGTAATCGATCTGTCTGTTACTGAAACGACTGCGTACATCAAAGCCAGACGCTTGTTAATCCGGAATTCGCGAACGTATCCGGTTATTTTTACTGTTACACACGTGTCTCACGACGCTGGAGCTGTTCTATCTAAACCCGATTTCTTTTCTCTCGTTGCGTAAAAGAAAATGAATGATAAAACGTGCCTTTGTGTTCGCTGCACTGGTAGACTTCGCGTTACGTGACTGATTACCAAGTAATAGAACAAGGCTTCGAATCGTTTCAGCTAGTCTTCGGTTGTTTTGTTATTTAAACTTAGTTAAAAGTTGAAAGAGACGTAATGGAGCGAAGACGTGACGGTGTAACGCGCGTTAATAGAGATTCCATGCTCGAGGGAACACGATCATTAAGGAAGCGTCGTAAAAGGGGACGACGGGTCAAGTGGTAAGGAAATTATACGATGAATATTCGATAAGAGGGCGAATTCCATCGAGGCCTCCGCTAAATAGCAATTAGCAAACGGTGATGCGATTACCGGGAGGACGCGGGGCAGAAAGTGGCGTCGAGAAAGCGGCCTGTGACTAATACGCCCGTAAACACGATGCAAATGAACCGGCCATGCGAATCAGGGTGAATCGTATCAGACAAAATATTTGCTCGGCGAGCATCCACCCTTTTCCCTAAATGTACAATTACAGCACCGCTGTTCAACTGGCGGCACCACATTAATCTTTTTAAATAAACATCTGTACCAAACGAAATTAATAATTAAAATTAGAAACTTCAAATCATTCCTATGTTTTAAAGGCGAAGTATAAGACATACGTAGGAAATTAAAATGTAATAAAGATTCTATTCTTGAAAATATAATCCTATCCAAATAATAACAAATATTGATATAAACAATAAAATAAATTATTCCCCAAGAATCACGTCCACAAAGGACACTTTAGATTTAAATTTAGAATGAATTTAGCTTACTACTTCTAACTCTTGAACCGTGTCGTATAAATTAAAGTGTATAATTTCTGACTGAAATAGATTTCCCGTTCCGTGAACTCCGAAAAATGCAAATGACGATTTTCGTCGTGGGCGACAGGCTCTTTACACAGGTGAATAAACCGGCGGTAATATCTGTCGCTGTTCACGCTCGAACACGAATCATCTCTTGTTGAATCGTATCGTAGCCTATAAACACCGAGTACGAACTCCAAGAATATTTCTTTCGTGCTGTTTGCGAAGGCAACTGAACTGTAATGGAACAGCTCCCTTTTTCTTCACGTGTACGCGCTGTTTCGTAAACTAATTGCGAGATATTCCACCACGATTACGCAATCGGTACTCCAAAACGAAAAACAGGAGCGGTGATAAACTAATTAGTAGTTTCGGAGTTAGCTGATAGTTTTATTGGGACAGCAAGTCAAATACTAATTTCAATTAAGCAACGTTCGATTTCAAACAAGAATTTACAACGAGGGGAGTACCTAATTAATGTCCATCAACATCAACGCGCTAATGATTGAACTACGAATTTTTATGCAAAATAAAACGACCATGATATCCATTTACAAAAAAACGATACATATTTCTTTTACTGTTAAAAAATCATACAATANAATTTACTTTTCATTATTTAAATTGATATCACAAAAGTTTTACGTTCCATGCAAATTTGCAGTCCAATAATTACGTTTCAACGTTATTTTTTTTCCTTTCTTTAAAATCGATACTAAAAGTACTTCTCGTACGCCTCCGGAAAGTACGTAGGACGTAAGAAGCGAAACGCCTCGATCCAATCTCTATTATTCATCCTGAGGAACCAGAGCAAACTAATTACACGTTAACAAGCTTCAGCAATGCAACCCTGCCCGTAGAAACAGGAAGCAGAAACTCAGCCCGTTTTTCCTCGACGCTTGTTTCCTTTCGTTCGGTTCGATCGAAAACAAACGCTTTCTCGTCCCACCAGGCCAGACCACGTGGGAGCTAAACTTTGCACGTTCCACCAATATACGTAAATCGTAATTGATAAATTTCGTACGACGCGCGCGTCGAATAACGAGGGCAGGAAGTGATAGAAATAGAATGGCGATTACTCACCGGATCGGAGAGATAGGACTCCCACAACTCCCTAAGGTCGCTGCTTCCCACGTCGTAGAATTCCATGATCCTAAAAAGTTTGCTCGATCGTTCCTAGTGCCGTTCCGGACAGACGTTCGTCGTACAGTTCGCCCATGGATAAGAGGTATCAGAAGAACGCGAACGCGATCTCTCCTCGGAGATCCATTGTCTTCCAAGGATCCCGGCAGACCGATACGTTCTGAAGGTAAAACGATTCAAGTTGAATGAACGATCTTATACATACTAATTGGCTCGCCTTCCGCGTATTTGATTACGTTCGAGTCCAATTAACACGATCGGAAGTGCCGTTTCGGTAGTTTTCAACATAATTGAACATTTTCTTCCCTGTTTTATTTGGGTCAATGATAACTCTCAAGTTCTCTGGAATTTCTTTGATTCGACGATGATTGTACGCGCGGGGAAACCGGTAGAATGTGGACTGTAGTAATATACCGTTTGGCATTTAATACCTCCTGTTGTTTCACGTTTACAACGCGATGCAACGAGCCCGCTGGCAGCTCGTTGGACGCTGTAACGAGATCAATGGATCTGTCTCTATGGGTTAAACGTTCTCGCAAGCGGAAGAATGATCGAACCGGTTATAGAACGATTTAGACGAGCAATTCAAAAGCAATAAGAAAATTTCCCCCGGGTTCGTTAAAACAGATCAATTCATTTAATTAATACTCAACCAATTTTTTGACTATTTTCTACTTTCTTGATATTTTATATCTTGGTCTCATCGAACTTCACTACACGCTGGTAACACCATCACATATTATGAATGTTAATAAGTTGGCCTTATGTCAATAGGCGCGACACTAACGGGATGCTCTCCTGCAATTTTTATAACTCTACCACATTGCCCTCCTGAGACTCATACTTTCACTTACTGAGAAATGATACAATAAAATAATTCTAAAAGAATAGGAAAATTTTAATAAAGCTTATTATTGTTATTCAAATGATCGTTTGATAACATCTGGCTAACTTTTTTAATTGACTATCTGTACTAATTGCGGTACATTGTACACTTCAAACAAAATGGTAAGGTCAGGTATAAACCTTCTACCCTCGACGATACTAATTACCGGCTAGCACGTTGCACGCTCGTAATTGCGGTCATTAACAGCGTCAGGCATCGAGTTAAGTACACTGCACTCGGGATTAAAAGAAGCGTGAAAACGATACGGTATTTATTATACAAATGAATTATTATATAAATGAAAATACATACCGAGCTTCGAAGGTTGGTAAAAGTGACTAAATTTATTGAATTACAATAGAATCTCCGTTATACAAAAACCCAGTACATGAATATTCTATTATGAACATCTGTTATCTAAATATTCTATCAGGCATGGAGAACCTTTCCTAGTTGAGGGGCCAAATTATGGTTCTCTCTCCGAGTCAAAGACCGGAACCAATTATTAAGCAATTATTATACCTGGGACACTGCAAATGAAAATACATACGGATTTTCGGAAAAACAGGAGTAATACTTCTTTTTACGATACATTCTTCATCTTCATAAGTATGATATTAGAGTTATAGCTGCAGCAGTTCTTCTTTTATTTACAGATTGTAATAAAAAACAATTTACTAAATATTTCATGAGAAAATAATATTGTAAACTTGCGGCGGTTTCTCGTTGACAATGAGTCACAGTCTACGCAAGATGTGAATTGCTGCAGTTATCATTTATTTTCGCATACTCGCGACGACTTTTTCCGCTTTGATTGCCAATATCAATTCAGTTATATCAATCATCGTGGAAACGGTTTGTTAAAAGAACAGAGAATTTCAAATGAAATTTTGCAAACAGTTCTTTATATGTAGATTGGCACCTAATGTTTGCGCGGCGTATTTGCACAATTCTGGCAATTATCAGCAGCTGTGGGTGTACACTAGAGAAGTCTGTTATTCGGTCTGAAAGAACACGCTGCCGAACGTGCGTGAAAAAAGAACGATAAAACAGACACTGGATTCCCTCACGGTCTTTTCCTTTTTCTTTAGAAACGATTATCTTTCATAATGCCTAATCGGAGAAACATCCGTGTGACGGTCAACGTGATTCAAAACCGGATCTCATGGAAAAAATACAAGTGAGAGAAAACAATGTTTCGTTGCAGAAACGAGCTAAGCACCTGGATAAAAGTTTATTGGACAGGCATGTGCCTCCCGCACATCTCCGATCGATAAGAGAAACGAGATAATCAACCTGTATGTACAAATACACATACAGGCTGAATCAGTATGAAACGTCATTTAATGCTCATTCATTTCATTATTGAGGCTGAGAGAAGTACATACATTTGAATTTATGAGAAAGATACATTCATTCAATAATCTCCATCATATAACGACTTCATACACAGTACCGTTTAACAAAACGATTAAATAAACTATTATGTGTTACTTCTTACTGAGTCACTCTGTATATTGATTATATTGTGTTCTTGAAGATTGAAATTAAATTTCGAGCGATAAGATTACCATTTTTCATGCAAATGCGTGGCAACGTTTGAGATAAGAATTTGAGAAAAAAGTAATAGATACATATGTGAGCCACCCTCAAACCGAAAGGAAAGCGTCGCCCTCACCCGCATACGACTTCCACACAGCCGGTTCATTAAGATCTGTTTCACATTTCCTCCAAACACTTGCATGTCACGCTGTGTCCCATGAAATGTGTTTTCGATGTATCCACCCACGAAACGAGACGACAAACACAGAAGTAATTACGAAGATATCGCGTGGACGCGACGCGCGACAAATGATCGCATGTGTCCCCTAGTAATAATAAACGTAATATGAAGAAAGAATCGCACGGGTTTCTTTGCGAACAGGGTCACCACCCCCTGCCCCCGATTACTCGTTGATTCGATGTAATCGAGACGCACCAGATGGAACGGAGCGCACACCGGCTTTCGGTACGATACAACGTTCGAATGCACGCGCGTGCACGTGCACTCGCGAATGCAAAAGCGTGCGCGATAACGAACGGCCGGGTTCGGAGAAAAGGAAATCGACTCACCGATAGGAAAGAGCAGCGTGTAACCTCCGTTGGTACCGAGGACAAATCACTCAGGCGGAACTCGGAGGTAGAGAGAATTGCACAAAATAATCTTGAGCGTAGAGGCACAGCACTAATCGAACCGGAGCCCGCACTCTTCTACCATACGACGCACTGTTAGCAACCGAGACGCCAATGAACGCGCAGGAAATCGGGACAAGCGGGATCGATAGTAGACACCCGTACACCGGCGAGCGTGTCGTGCCGCCGATAGATTTCGCGGGACTGAAAGCTCTCTCCTGAAGGCCTAAAGCTCCGAGAAGTTCGAATCGCCCGGTGGCTAGTGCTTGACCCTCGATCGGTAAAGCGAACTTCCGTGTTCCGCGGGAAACAGAAAAGAAAACTGAGGCACGATACGCGCACGTTCACGTCCGCCGCGTAAATGCTGGTAAATGCGCCGACCGGTCGCACGTGCTGCGTCCGACACTTTCGGTACCATCGCTCGACCAATCGACGTGAACCACCTGTTACCAGCGTACTGAGCTTTCGCGAGCGGCGCGCTGCGCGCGCATACCAGAGCGCCGAAGCTTCGCGCGCAGCGCAATGCTAGTCCGGTTTGAAATCGTGTGAAAGAAATTCCCGGTATTTACGTGACCGCGTCAATGCTCTGACTGTGTCCTTGTTGTTTGCTTGTAAACTTCATAGAAATACGTGTAAGCAGTGAATTCTGTGAGTGGGAACGATTAGTGAGCAAATAAATCTGACATGTGCTGGACAATGGCTTCTACTCTAATTTAAAGTTGTGGTGATGGGCTTCAAGGTTATGCCGAAATTCCTGGACTTTCACTGTGAGTACATTATTTGATTTCATTTTGGATGAACTGTGAAGGTTATGTATTGTTTTGCTTGATAGTAGATTGCGAAAGGGAATGTGAGGTTGTCAAATGGATGTTTATAAAATGAATTAAAATTTGATAGGCTATCATGTTGTCGAATTTGTAGTGCGTCGATCACTTACTTTATTTTATGCTAAGAAGCTGTTATAACATAGGAAACAGGTGGAATTTAAATTATAAACATCGTGATTACATTGGCATTCAATTGAGAGAACGACAAGATTGGCGGTCCCTTTCAAAAGTTCGAAGGCAACTTAAAGTATAGGATTGAGATCCGAGGATAATTACGATAAATACGATAATTATTATAATATCAATTTGTGGAAGATATGATTACATTTATTAACAAAGCGATTACATCTTTAGAGTTCGTGTTTACACAGCCTACATACAGAATTTTCGTGATTTACATACTTGAAACAATCGCAAACTGAGAGTGAAGTAAAATATGGAGTTCCAATTGAACCCCTAACATTCTATCCAGGGTTGCAGATTTTTTAATTACCGCATTAACAATTAACGATTAAATTCGTCTAAGTCTCAATCGACAATTCGGGTATTCTTTAATTAATAATTAAAATTCAATCGTTAATTCGAATTTCTATGAATTAGTTTTTATTACGCTAATTAAATAATTTTAATTCTTAATTAGGGTTATCCGAATCGAAAACTAAACGTTAATTGCTAATTGGTGTTCAATCGAATTAAAGATTTCATCATTTATCTACAACCCTAATTCTATGTAACATTAAAATACAGCTACCTACCCTTCTTAAGAGATAGATATCACGTGGATAAAAATCTGACTATACAAAAAATATTCGTCTCCTCTATATATCTATATTAGTTCATCATTATTTACATGATTAGGCAAACTTCAATATTTTCGATCGTTCAGCGCATATTTTTACTGCATAGCATTCACAATAAGTAACATATCATACATAATAATCTAAGTGCGAATTATGTATCCTACATTCTTTTAAGTGAGCGAGGAAATAAAATTGTGGATATTTATTTTACTCTCAAGCTGCATACTATTTTCCATTGCTTAATAATAGACAATATTTTGATAATACCATGTTAAGCGATGGAATCATCCACTATTTATTTATAAACAGAATTCGGTAAATGGGAGTAGTTAAAATACAGCAAAGCGTGAGGTAATGTTTGAACGCGTGTCTACGAAAATAATTTTCTTTAATACGAGGTAGATTTTCAAGCATGTTCTTTATTTGGAGATTAATTGTACATCATGCCACTATTGTGCCCACGCCAGTAAAAAATTATATTCTCGCCAATCATAATTTATCTTGTTCCGACCTCTAAATGTATTTATACTTTTTATCAGGTACAATACAAGGCTGAACAAAATATGATTATGTAATCCTTCGTTCTCTGTAAATCTCTAAAAAGATACCATTTGTTTTACAAGTTACAAGTATTCCCAAACTTCACCTACTTTACCAAAATATCTTTTTTCTCGTTTCTCTTCGACTGGGTAAGGCGAATGATGAAACATTTATAATCATTATAAAACATTTCGTACATAACTTCGTAAACAAAACGAAACTGATACGTAAAGATTGTGCAACAAACAGTTACGTAGAATGTTAACGAATACATCCTTCGAACGTTACGAATCTGCATACGTAGATAATCTCATCTTCAAACACAAAAATGAGAGAAATAAGGTATAAGAAGAACGCATAATGCAATAATAGGAACACAATTTTTCAACTCATTCTTCGTAACGATTATACATGGATGTATCTATAGATGATGAAAATAATGCATCGTTCCTTCTCGTGTCGCAGAAACATATATATATAGGACACTCGAAAGAAATAAACGGTGATTAAAAAAAGGAAAAGAAAAGAGGATTGAAAAGTACAACAACGCGGTGTCACGCGACAATATCCAACATAGAATATACGTATTTAACAACGTGTGAAATAAACGCGGCTATTAAAACTCCCTCTTCAAAGCAGACCTCAATAACGCACTGCGCATCGATGTCACGAGTTTTTCGAGCTCCTCGACTTTCATCTTTAATATCCTGTTGTCCCTCTCCAACTCGTTCGCCTTCACCGCCATCTCCGTCTCCTTCGCTTTCTTGTTCATCCTCGACTTCCTCGACGCTTCGTTGTTCTTCTCCCTTGACTCCCGATAGTGTGAAACGAACGAATGATCATCCGAATCGCTGTCAATGGTGTTATACCGTCTTCGCGCCGGTTTCTCGCGTTTTACTTTAGTATACGGTTTCTCTACTTTAGTGGTAACAGACCTCCTCGGCCGTTCGGTTCTCCGAGTGCTTACAACAGGAGTTTCTGTAGTCGTGGACGTTACCATCGACGTTGTTGATACCCCCGAACATTCTTGCATGACGGCGTCCTCCTCCGTTTTTACCTTAACGGTGGTTTCTGGTAAGGTCGTCGACAATTTCGAAGATGACGACCACGGTTTCGATACTATTGAAGAATCTGTTGAAACGCTGCCTTCTGGAGAACGCATCTCATCCTAAAATATGTATTCCATTAGTTGTGCGATTATTTATTGATCGAATGTTGTCAACGATCGGGTATAATCGAGTTCTTCTAAAATTCGTGATAAATAATTCAATAACGTACACGATTAATTAACAATTGTTCTAGTTTTTATACATGGGAAGTCGATTAGTGTCCCCGGTCATTGGACCATTAATTATACGTGTCAACTCACATCGCAAAGGTACGACAATAAATCGAATGTATCCGAGCCGGTTGTTTCAACCGTTCGTAACATATCCCACGTTTCACGTTGATTCTCAGTCGGATCGAAATTAATCGGACAAGTATCGTTCAAATCAATCTCCCCTATCTGATACCTGGATTGGAATGGTGCGCTAATGTTCGTATTGGTTTCCATCGTTCTGTTTGAGCTTGTGTTTTCTGTTACTGTCGTTCCTTTTGATATCTTCAACCACAAATTGGACGTGCTTGACACTGTATAACTATTTTCCTTGTCCTGTTTGCTAGTTACGTTTAATGTTGGTTGCAAGTTGTGAGAATTATCACTTGAATGTTCGGTTGTCTCAGCTGTATTCATTTTCGTGCTCCACTTTAATACCCCCTCTTCTGACGACAAACCACTCTTACCCTCGTATTTCGTACCTAAAACACACAGCGCCGTACAATTAATAATCTTCTGTAAAAATTAACATTATTAATTCCGTTATTATCAAGAAATGTGTGGATGTCGTTTGTACTCACCTGATAGTTTAAAAGTAGGAGATTCACCTGTAGGAAAATCGCAATGACCCTGGAACGGATCCATTATGCACCAACCACTTAAGTCCTGAAAGTTCTCCTCCCATGTGGAGGATGCTGTTTTGTCCTCGGCCTTCGGCACGGTTGTTTTTGGCTGCGGGAACACCCATGGCTCTTGTAGCAATTCGGTTTCCATGGTCGGTGTTAGCAAAGGAACTGTATCCATTGTTGAGGATTCTTCCTCGAGCGGCCACGATCTCACGCCACGAGAAGCAGATGACGGGCGCGACTGACGGTTGCATGGCTTTGATACCTAGAATTTCATTTCTTTAAATTTTTTTATCAACATTTTTTGGGTAATCGTACAGTCGGCCGATATGTAACAGAACACGTACGTTAAACACGCCTCCTGTCTCAAATGAAATGTTGCTGGCCGTTGGGCGTTCGTAAACAGGAGGGATTTTGGATACCTGTGAAAGAAATCGTTCACGTTGTTATGTGCTCTTCGGTGAGACAATCAAAGACACGAGTGTACAACGTCTTCTGAGATCGAACAACGTTTTAGTGACATTTTTACTTAGGTTTTAAAGAAAAACAGTGATTAATATTTTTGTGCGCACTACAAAATAGAAAACTTTTTTAACATTGGTTTAAACAATTCCATTTTCTTTGGAAGGTCTGATTCATTACGTAATATGTAAAAAATTACGTCAGAATCTCGAAGAAATAAGAAAGGGACATACTTTTTAACTTTTTTATTTGGGTCTCCAATAAAAATTGGGCCTCAAATAATGAAAGAAAATTAAGCTGTTCGATCCAACATTAAAAAGGTATTCCCTTTTGAAACGTGTCTAAATATTAATTGGACAATATCCGAATGACGTTTCTATCCACTCGTGTCTTCAATTATCAAAATTCTTATGGTCGAATCCAGTAAAGGCAATAATTAAAACACACATTAATTGCTGATATTAATCTTATATAAACATGTAGATACTGTGTATCAATAATCCCATCTATAAAACCTGATTACATCGTTAAAAAAGAATACTAATTTATCATGATAACGGAGTTAATATTTCTGCGAAAAGATAAAACAATCACGCACGTTTTCGAGATCGTATCAATTTTTATTAAACACGATAAACCATAATTGTGTTCAATGCGGCAAACAAGACTTTTAGAGACGGGATTAATTTTGTTAGTTGCTTACGCAAAAATAATACCATTGTAAATAATCTGAAACAAAATAAAAATAAACCTTTTTAGAGAAACAGTGAAGGAAATGGGCCAATGTAAACCAGATAAAATAAAAGTAGTGCTACCAATCTGTAACATAAAATCATAGTGAGGGTGTTAGTACAGCGTATGTATATACATAGATGCATTAAAAGAAGCATTATAATTTGCGCGATCGATCGAGGCGCAAAAAATATTTTTCTATTATCGTGCGCACATGCACGTACTAACATCTACGCGTAGGAAATCGATCGTGATAGAACATTACCAATAATTACTTATCAGTCCGCGAATACTGAACGTTAGTCAGTGAAATGCGAGCAACAGATATACCTAGCGGAGGACCGCAGATGTGTTCGTGCTCGAATCGCATGATTACGCTATCGAACGGGAACCGAGCGCTCCCGCAAACGCAACAGCCACGTTTCATTATCGTTACGTCTGTTACCTTTACATTTTTACTTTTTTTCATTATTGAACGAGTAATCGGTAAATGTCCGTTTTACGTCGCCGACGAACGCTCCGTTACGTAATGCGTTTAGACACCGACGCATGTGACTGGGAATTTTCTTAAACCGGCTTACGTCGGTCGCCCGGTTCGGTACATTCGTCGCGACCACGTCGAATTGGCGCAGAAACCGGGTGTCGCGTGGTACCGCTCGCAACTCGAAATATACGGAATGACTCGGAACTTTCTGGAATAACTATATGTATTTTCTGTTCTACGTTGTGTATTAACGCGAGATAGGTATACGTATAGACGAGGTAACCGCGCGGCTCCGATCGATTCGCTCGTTTTGCCGCGGCGTAATTCTCGCCGTGTCGGTTGCTGTCGCGTTGCCGCAATAAAAAACGGACGGAATTAACTCCGATCCGAAAGCCCAATTATGTAATGCGATTAGAACCGATGATAGACTTGGTACGCGGAACTGAAGGCGTAGAAGAACGAGTTTTGAAATTTGAATTTGTTACTTACCCTCCCTGACACGATCGGTGTTGTACCTTCCACTTGGAACGCGAGAACTGTTTTACGTAACGACGATTTCTGGTTGCCGGCGAGAAACGTTCTCAATACGTTCGTTCGACGGTTCGCAGAGTAAAGGACACTTTCGATCCGCTTCGCACTCGCGCAAGTCACCGACTATTCTCCGCGGAATGCGATCTGGAACGTCGGTAGTGCGGGATTAAACACGTCACCGTGAACCGTCGGGTTGCGCGTTGGTTGAATGGATCGCGGCGTACCCGCGTCATCGCGGGCCAATCGCTACGCGGCTGAGGTCATCGGCGGCCAATTGCTGCAGGGAAACGCTGCAGTGGGAAAAATTGACACGTCATTCTGAGAATTTCGTGGGGACCAGTCGATATCCGAACTTTCTCATTTTTTACTTATTTGCCCTTAAGAGGGAATTCATTAATATATGTCGTGGAACGATTCGCGATCATTTCTCGATTTAGATATTGAATCGATTCTCATAGGGGTGGGGCGGAAAGTTACTAAATACTTTTGGTAACATCGTAGTCTCATGTAAAAACGGTGACCATTGCTAAGTCGTAGGAGGAATGTTACGTGACCGTGACCGTTACGTAAAATTCGCATTCCTTCTCTTTTGCGGAATGCGTCTTATCCCGGAATGTGTACGTCGCATTTATGATGATGCAACGTTATCGTTCGAGTGAATCAATTGCGCGAGGAATTATGTATAACATATTGCTAGATGGAGTTGACAGCTCGTGTTACGTGTTCGATGCGCGGATGGCGGCACAAGTCGATTGTAAAAATAGATACCGTTTGATACTACGCACAAATTAAAGTCATATATTCAAATATTTCAAGTCTTACGATCAGATTCTTATTTTATTCATGATAGCAAACAGTTTCTGAAATAAAAATCGTTCAGAAGCGTTACAGATTATCGAAACAATAAACTATCCTCTTGACGTAACATTCAGTCCACTCCTGTCTCCGAATTCAACCAGCCAAGCACCCAAATATATTCCACTAATATAAACCAGAATGTGATTAATAAGAAGGGAATTACTGAACCGAACCGTAGAAACCTAACAGTGAAAAAAGAATAAATACACGCAGGACCCATGCATAGAACAGATTCCGCAGATTTCACTCAACGCGTTAAGGTAAAGGCGAGTTTAGGTTCGCCACTTTGGAATCCCGAATGATTCATCCAAATCAATTCAGTAAAAGTACTGTATATAAAATCTTCCATTCTACTTAGTCGCTTCGGATAAAATGCAGATGAGAATATCTGTACACTGGACTTTTACATTGGATGAATCATTTGTAATCCGGGATGCACATACGAAGTGGTAAGTCTAAATTCTCGTTTAACGCGATAATTATAGTAATTATGAAACAACAACGAAGAGAATAAACGGTCGGTTTTTTCAGCGTCTGTTAGAGCTGATGACATACGAAGCCGCAGAAGGTACATGAATCACGGGAGACCGTTTATAAATTAGTAGCTTTTATATAATATTAGCGTTTGACCTGTTATATAATTTTACCATTTTTCACGATTCTCTCGAACGACAGAATCGAACTCCGAAAATGAGGAATATTTTATCAGCTCCGACGAATCAGATACCGACAGCGACGATAACGAACACTACTCTGATGATGAACGAAATATTGAGAATAACACGATTTTTCACTTAAACAAATTCTACGCCGATCACGCGGACAACACGCCGAGACACTTACCTCCAAGGACGCGTAACATCGAATTCCGTGAGAAGATCTACAGAGTGATCCCCCTGAAGTTGGACGAGAGGATCTTTAATACAGTTTCATCGAACGATAAAATCTCATCCGATCTAAGGCGAAATGGATAATAAAAAAGTGGACGGTGTCTCGTAATACATTTTATTAATAAAAAAAGAAAACAACCGTTGTTAAAGTTTTTACAATGTAAGTGGAGAACCTGTTCGTAGGCGTTAATTCAATGTACATTTGTTCATTTCACATCTTTTGATTTGTCCCCCGCGTTAGCCGCCTACGCATTTTATATTACAACGAGTGTGATACACAATATTATCTATAGTAACAAAATATGAGTTCGCTTATGTATAAAAGGAGGGGGTGGGGGAAGAGAAGATTATATTAACATACATGCACACACTTTTGCTCTCTTTCTTTCTCTCTCTTTCTCTCTCATTTTCCCGTTCCCTCTTACGTCAAGGCGAGCAGAGAAAAGGAGAGAGAGGTACATAAAAAGTTAATCGATAGAAAAAAGTCCTTAACTATATAGTTGGTATTATAAATTACAAAAAATTACAATCTCGCGCTTGTGTATATGTATAGTCTTTCTCATTCTCGATATTCGTCGATCTAACTGCGAGCGCCGAAACAACGATCTCACCTGATCGATGGATCGTCGTTCCAGGACTCGATCACGTCTCTAGCCTAGATGTGTTCTAGCATTTATCAGCACTTTTAATTATCGTACACGTCGCGTACACGCGTTCGAGACCGGCCCTTGGAGCTCAATTTTCGTTCCTCGCTCCTCGAACCGTTGAACTTGACCGGCGCTGCGCCGCGGCGTCTGGGAATAATAAATAAATTGGTCTCTCGACGATGGGGCGACGCCTCTTTATGGTTCGCGTGACAGGGACGTCGACATTTTTCTTCCGTCTTCGTATTCTACAACGGTAGAATGTTGATTACTTATTATAGTCACTGACCCTCGCTGTCGCTGTCGCTTTTGTCTGCAAAAATATATTTGTGCGCCTCGTTAGGACCTCTTTCCTTCGTATACCAAGTCTTTTTATCCATGAGCGGAGAAGAGTTTTTTTACGAAATGACTCGTTTGCATCGTAAAACAGAAAATTCGGATCTTCGAGTTGAGAAAGTAACAAGATATTATTTGTTTCATGATTGTAGTTTTCGAGGACAGATTACAATTTCTGTATCACTACATTTACAAATATATTAGTAATTACAAATTACTAATAGTGTCAAGGCGAACCCAACGACATATTGCGACTTGACTTACATGATGATTGTTACATGATGGATGTTACATGAAACTATCTCGTAAATTATATAACGCACATGTCGGAATCAAATACTAATAGAGTCCTATTTAGGGGCTAGACTCCACATCTGTGCAATAAGGCATTATCCGTAAAACGACGAAAATTTAGGAAAGTCATGTGACTACTTTAATCCCTTAAATATATTTGAAACAGTGCAATCCTGGCAGATATTTCATTCTTTTTATTACTCACCTTTCTTGCCAGGATAAGCGTGACGTTTCAGTCTATCGTAAAGATCGTCTTTCGTGCCGTAAATACTAGCGTTCGAACGAGCGAGACTGTTCATCTTGCCATTATGAAGACTCTCTGAAAAGAGACGTGACATGAAAATCGTGAAACACGAATCGCGAGGTAGTCGCCGTCTTCTCTATTTTCACTTACCTTTCATGTAGGTCTCGTTGTAAAAATTGGGCATTTCCCAGCCGTCTTCTTCGTCGTCGTAATAGTGAGCATAGGTGCTGTGATGTGACGGTGCTATGGATTCCGCGTACGGCGTAGGCGCGCCGTAATAAAAGTTCACTTGCGATCCGTTTTGATCAGTAGCTGGTGTTAACATCTTCTTAGGTTCCTTCTTTCTGGAAGCTCTGTGTAAAGAGAAATTCATTTTAAATAAATGAGTAAATAAAATTAGTTTATTCTATAAAAATTATATAAAAATACGCAGTCTATTATTGACGCGTTATATAATTGATATTGAACATACCTGACACAGATCATCCATACGAGAAGAACGACAAAGATGATTAAGATAACTCCACCTGCGATGCCGCCGGTGATGTAGAAGAATTCTGATTTCTCGGTACACCGTTTGCCAGTAAAACTGCCGCTACATCTGCAGGAAGGTTGTCCCCGCGAGTCTTTCAGGCACACACCCTCATTGTCGCAGTAATCCATACAGACGTCTGTGCACTCCGTTCCGGTTCCGTTGTATCCGGGCTTGCACTCGCACTTGAAATCGCTCGTTTCCGGTATCAGGAGACAATAGGCGTTCGCGTCGCAGTGCATTTCCGCGTCGCTCGTCTCGCACGGGTTCGTGCAATCCGCTTTGCTAGTCTAATAATAATTATTATCAAATTAAAGATCAGATAGATTCAAAGTAAGATGCAATGAGTCTCATTAGTATTCGGACACACTTTAAAATAAAACAAATTTTTTAATATTGGTTCAATACTAAAAAACTTATTCCGTTTTGAAATGTGTTCGAATATTAATAAGTATTATTAGGTAAACGAGTAAGACTACTCACTGCAGCGGTTCCTTTGGTACTAGTATTCGGAGGACAGGGTATGCAGAAGGTCTGCTGCGGCTCCGACTGATAGGTTCCCTTCTTGCACTGCATACATTCGTTCAAAGTTCCATTCAAATACGTCCCCGGCTCGCATACAGGCAACGAGCATTCTTCTATCACCGCGGAGCCCATATTCGGCGTGGTCCTGCCAATGGGACACTGCTGGCACGCAGCCTGGACTCCCTGAGTCCTGTAAGTTCCTCTTGGACACGGTTCGCATTTTCCTTCCACAGCCAGCTGTTGTCCGGACCCGCACTCGTCTCTGCATTCCTCCCGGGACACGGCTTCCGGTGTCCTCGTAGTTTTTCCCAATCCGCACAGCAAGCAAGAGAAGCTGCCCTCGTTCGGTTGATAGAATCCGTGGCCACAGCTACGACATAAGCCAGCCACGTCGTCGTAATACTTTCCCGCGGGACACCTTTCCTTGCAGTCGGCCGCGCTCCGTGCTCCTGGTCCCACCGTCACGCTGGGACGACCAGCGATCACAGGACAAGAACTGCATTTCAGTTGACCCGATTCGCTTTGGTAGCTTCCCACAGGACAGGACAGACACTGTTTCGTTTCTTCGTCGTAATACGTTCCCACGGCGCAAGGCACTGCAATTAAAAATTAAATGCATTTAACGTTTAAATAATAAAATAAAACTTTTTTTATTCTGTATTAAAATGCACAGTCGGGGAATTATAAGTCGTATTCAGATTTTCCTTTCAGTGAAAGTTTAAGAGCCTTACCACAGTCAGGTGCCATGACCACTTGTCCCACAGGGCAATCGTAATCAGATTCCAAAATTAGGGAAGCTGGGTCGGGCACAGTATTAGGTAGAATGTCGTGAACGTCGAACTGGTCCTCTTCTAGGATCAATCTTTCCAACAGAGTTTGAACGGTCGCTCTCTCGTTCGAGTTCGCGTTCAAAATCGGGTCGCTATAAAACAGAGAGCAGGATTAAGGAACTATAAATTGATGGATGTTCCGTTTTAGCGACAGGCAAGAAGAGAGTATGCGCAAGTATGTACAGCCGTTATCTGAAGGCGAAGGTAATCAGGCAGCCTTTCCATTGATTTCCTGGTCAGTGGCATCGGTTATCATCGACACCCATTAATTTGTTTTCTTTTGTATATGTTCACCTATATTGTTTTTAATGTATATCCTCATAGAGTATTGCCTCAGGTATTGTTCAGTTTAGTATTCTGTTAATGTCACAAACCAAAGCTATTTGGCATTTAAGGTTGCTCTGGCTATACAAGGTTCGAAAAAAATTATATACGTTGTAAATATAATATATTCTTTGATATTTATATATATGTGTATGTAATTTTTATTCTCATTCAATTGGTTCAGAACTCTTGTGAATTTAAAATAATATTTAATTTAATTATCTTCTAAGAATTCATTATTATTAATAAANGTTTAATACTTATTAGTAACGAATAGTAGTTTAGCTTATAGCCAAAACAGCCTTAAACAATTAAATGTATGATTGATTTCGTTAGACGTTTCATTCCTAAAAATGCTATTCTGAGTATTTCCTCGCGTGAGTTGAATAGTTACCCAACAGCTTGATCGATTTGATTGATTGTTATACGTTATTACCCTACTATGATTTCGTCCCTAAGCGTTTATCTAGTCCGTCGTTGCGTGAACAGTTAGTAACAACGTGCATACCGTTAGACTGCGATTGATCCAGCTGTCAAGGTTTTATTTATAAATTTGTTAATATCTTTTTCTGTACATCATTTAAATCGTTTCATCGCCCAATCCTCTTCTTGGATAAGAGAAGAAGAACGATTTCTGGTCTCTTTAGGAAACTCAATCTGATAATTAGTTCGAGTTTAGTAAACGTTATGATTTATTTTCCGTTATTATTCATGCATTCGCATCGAGATCGTTTAATGAGTCGTGATGTAACGTTTTCATTGTATTTAGAGCGATGAGATGAATGTTGGTAGATAAAACACCGATGACACATGTACAAAGTACGATTCCCGTAAATCAAATCGATTGGCTTATTCCTTACTTTATTGCCGGGAACGAGATCTCCACCTCGTAGGTATCGCTTCCTTGCCGAGCTTGTCTCGTTCTACGATGGAACACAAGTAACAAAATGTCTCAGTACCGATCGTTCTCGTTACTGCTTACAGTTTGCCTGATTTTCGTACAGTTTTCACGTGATCGTGTGACAAATACTACAGTATTATTTTATCGAGATCGTCGAAAATGTTTCGAGCCTCTGTCTTGTAAACTGCGAAAGGGTATTTAAATACTTACGGTTCAGCTGGGACTACCGCAGAGATTGTGTAAGTTCCACCGTCCTCTTCGTTGGTCTCTCTAGTCGTGCGCAGGCGGTGGTCGCATTGGACGTCGATGTGCAAATCTTTGCACTCCCGAGTTCCTAGAAATAAAAATGATTAACTTAACAAATAGAAAAACGAATGGGTAAACATCAAGGATATAAATGAAAACAAAGAAGGCATTAAGTTACGAAAATTAAAACGAGAAGTAAAGCCACAAACAGATGCATATTTCAGAGAACCTGTGCGAAAAGACGATGTATGCATGTAATGATGTTCGAATTACTGTAATAAACTGTGGAAAAAAGTTCTTAAGAAAAACAGTATAAAATATTTGTTTGCAAAATTATATAGAATCTTAGGTGAGAATGAAAAATGCGTTTACCTTCATAAGAATATGAGCAGAAGTTCCAGTCTCTGTTTAGAGAGTTCACAGCGTCGCGGACCTTCTTCTTGAGTACTCCTTGGCCGGCTTCATTGCAAAGAACCCACGTTGGGAAGTTCATTTTGATTCTGAATACACGCTGAGCTGGTGTAGCAGCTAAACGAAGAGAATTAATAGTTAGAAGAGAGTGAAGATGTAACAAAAAGGACGGAGACAGAAATGAAATTTACTTGTGCAAGCTGGATAGACGAGAGGTAGGGAGGGGTCGTTGGTAGGCCTCCAGAATCCTTCGGCACCGCAAGTATAGAACTTCGGAACTTCCTGAGAGAACCTCGAACCAGCGTTGCAGAAGATTTCGCAAACCTTGAACTGACCACCGGATCCCCAGTCCTTGCATTGTTGAGTTCCTCCGATCGGATCAGGCAATTCTGGGCAGAAATCAGCTGCGAGACAAAAACAATATTATATTATTATTATTACTTTATTACCGAGCACAAGTCCTCTAGAATATACAAAGGAAAACAAGAGAAATTAAGATACTAACAATAGATGTTGCAAACAGAAATTAAATAATAAAACAAATAATAAAAATTTAACGATAAATAAACTGCATAAGGAAAAAGAGAAACAAATAGATACTCTATGACTATAACAAAATTAACTAGTTATCTTGAACTAAAAATAAACTTAATAATAAGTTTCAACACAAGAAATGGGATAAAGAGAAGTTAATAAAAAAGTTTTAATTAAGGGCAGGAATTACGTAAAGTAGATGTAATTAGGGACGATACCGCTTGAGAGAGGATAAAAAAAGTTTAAATCAGAAAATCGATTTACGATAATGTTCACGCTATTAACGCTATTATGCTGACGATAAAGCGTACGATGGCTTTCCGATGACGGCAATTACAAGAGAATCTCGGTACATTAAGTTTAAAGAGCTGCAGCTGGATGATCTCAAGACTATACATATAAAGAACCGTTAAAGATTTTGTGTGTAAACTTCAAGTCTAGCATTAGCCGTCTTTGCTTCAAAGATAATAAATTAGTGCGAACTAGTAGCGTCTGGTATCATACACCATAGTGCCTATTATACAAAAGTTGATAATTTGCTAATTATTTGTTTAACTTATACTCACATAGCACGTAGACCTTGAAATTACAACTGGCAGAGTTCCCAGCCTGATCGTAAGCCACGTAGCTAATGTCATAAATTCCCCACATCAGTGTCTGACCAGATTTGTGACCGTTTTTCTCCTGAACCCTCGTTATGCCGACGTTGTCCACGAACCGTGGCTCGTCCCAGCTAACTATAGCCGAGCCGTTCTTGGCGATCACCCAAAGATCGCCCGGACAGTGTTCTACTTTAGGCGGGATCTTGTCCGATTCCAATTGTTGACACTTGTTACCACCGTATCCCGGTGGACACACTCTTTGTCCGCAATGCGAGGGTACCACTCTCTCCACGCCGCCGATCGTTTCATCGTAGCCTGCCCAGGTCAGCACCAAGCCTTGGTAAAGGACTGGTTCGGTGCGACAATCGCGAACTTGCTTCTGAATCTCGTTCGTCACGTGCAAGGCTCGACTCCAGATCTGTACCTTGGTCAGAGTTCCTTGGAAGCCTGCTTCGGTGTAACCTTTCGCGTTCTCACTCTGAGGTTTGCCTAACATCGCCCATGCACTGGAGAAATAATTTTTGTAAACGTATGATTAAATCTATGTATATGTATATATGTACTAAGCATCCCAGTATCGTGTATATGTATAGAATAGAAATATTTAATGCGCATAAATCAAGTTGAAAGATATTGAGGACTTTTTAAATATACATTGTTCTCCCTTTGGAGGAAAAATCTCTTTATTAAGGATAATTTTTTTAAAACCGCGACAGGCAATGCTAATAAAAAATAAACAAGATACATAAATAAATTAGTCGACAATTAAATTACACACAATTATAAAATAGATTTAATTAAATAATGAATTGCACTTACTAAGCTGGTAAGGACCTTCCACTTCCGTAACCCTCGGTTTTACTAGCAATTAGTCCTTCCGTGATTAAAACCAGCTCGCCACCATTCTCGCCGTTCCAAACGACGGCAACGTGATGCCACTGGCCATCGTTAATAGTTGCGTATTCCCTGAACGGTAGATAGACGTCTTGCAAGTCGTGGAACAGGGAAACTTGAATACCGTTGCTATGTGCTTGAATCATGAGTCTTCTATTCGTTGGAACATGAGGAGAACTGAAACATACAGTAAGAAAACAAATGTTGAACCAGTTCTACTAAAAATCAATAGAAGAATTTACGGTAATCTACCTGACGCCGTAGAGCGTGAAGAATATTCCAGCTTCGTCTTTCTGAGTATACTGTACCCACATCGCTACTGTCAAACTCTTCCTAGCCCCGGTAAAGAATGGGATCACTTGAGCCGCGCTACTGCGCGCTGGGTCGCTGAAGTACAAGTCGTAATCCACTTGAATAGCTGCAAGAGAACATAAACAATTTTACGTGCTGAAAGATTCTTTTTATTGGAGAAAAATTCAATAAATATTTTACATTTTCTGCAATCATCGCCAGTTAAGTTGAAGGGGCACTGGCAGAAGAATTTTCCAGTGAGATCGATGCAAGTTGCCGACGGTGGACAAGAGTTCTCCTTGCAGTCGATTATATCATCCTCGCAAGTTTTACCTAAATAACCACAGTTTTAAAAAATTTTTCTATTGACGTTACTAATTAATTTTTTAAATTAATCACCTGTGTATCCCGGTGGGCAAATGCAAGTGAAACCGGGGCCTTCGTCGAGGCACGTGGCTCCGTTCTTGCAAGCACCAGCTTGACAAGCGTCGTATTCGTACTGACATCCAATTCCGGTGAAATCATCGGGGCAAGTACAATTGAGTCCGGATCCGAAGTCCTGGCAACGTCCATTGTGCATGCAAGGATTTCCAATGCAGCGTTCTGGCGCTGTTTCACACTGCTTTCCATCCGTTCCCGACGGACACCTGTTTAAGTACATGCGAACCTCATTTGAAGTCGTCATGTTACGAAAGTCATCCTATACGTCAAGCGGATTATCTACTTACACACAGAAGTAATCCATGAACAAATCCACGCAGTTGGCATCGTTCTGGCAAGGATGGTTCTGACACATGCCGACGTCTATCTCGCAGTGAACTCCGGTCCAACCCTCTGGGCACATGCACTTGAACCCACCGACTTCATCCCTGCACGTGGCCCCATTGAGACAAGGGTCAGAGGCACAGTCATCGATATTGATCTCGCAAGACGCTCCGGAGTACCCTTCACGACAATGACACATGAAAGTGTTATCCAAATCGACACAGCGATCGGTTCCGACAGGACTGCATGGGTCACTGAGACATTCATCCAATTCTGCTTCACATTGGAGTCCGACAAAACCTGGCCTGCATTTGCAGACGAATCCTTCGAGTTGATCCACACAGGTTCCACCGTTCTGACAAGGTTCAGATGCACAGTCGTCGATAGTATGTTGACATTGCTTGCCAGTGTAACCAGGCTCGCAGGTGCAGGTGTACCCGTTGATCTGATCTATGCACTGGCCATTATTCATGCAAGGTTTATTAGAGCACTCGTTGACATTCGTCTCGCAAGCAGTGCCGGTCCATCCCGGTTGGCAGATGCACTCGTGACTGAATAAATTGTCCACGCATATACCGTTCAGGCAAGGATTTCCTGAACACAAGTCGATCTTCTCGTGGCAACGTTTGCCAGTGAATCCTGGAGGACAGTCGCAACTGAAGTCTGCGATCAGATCCGTGCAATTAGCTCCTAACAAACAAGGCTTCTCGGCGCAATCGTCCGTGTTGATTTCGCAGCTCTGGCCTTCCCAGCCTGGCAGACAATCGCACTTGTAACGGCCTTGTTGAAGAGCCACGCAGGTGGCACCGTTGTTACAAGGATTTCCACTGGCCGTGCAAGGATTTATCTATAAACGCCAAGATTAATATAAAAATAGATAACTGGATTAAACTGTCAGATGTACAGTAAACTTACAGTGATGTCACAGTCGACTCCGGTGTAACCAGACCGGCAGAGGCAAGTGTAATTACTGAAACCAGGTTCGTCCTTACACATGGCCCTTTCTGGACACGTATCGTTCGCGCAATCTGACTTCTCTTCTTGGCAATTGATCCCCGAGTACCCATTAGCGCACTGACACCTGTAGCCCTGTGGGAGGTCGATGCAAGTGGCTCCGTTGTAGCAAGGCTGCGAGGCGCATTCGTCGATATCAATTTCACAGCGTCGTCCGGAGAATCCAGCTGGGCACAGACACTGGACACCATGTCCCATGGGAACGCACAAGCCTCCATGCTGACAAACGCTATCTGTACACGTCACAGGCTTGCATTCCTCGCGTCCAACTGCGCCTGGACTGTCAGTGTACATGTTCGTTGGACATTCGACGCAAGTGATGGCTCCGTGCTGTGGTTGGAAGAAATCTTTTGGGCACTGGGCGCACGGGGCCAAGCCGGTGTCCGAGTACATGCCAGGCGAACATTTGGCTCTGCATCTATCTCGACCTGGTGCAGCCGGCTGATAGGTAAACGTTCCGGCCGGACAGGTTTGACAGTCTTTATAACCACCGACCGGTGGTTCGCCGGTGTAACTGTTCCTGGGACACTCCAGGCAAGGCACCAATCCAGTAGGAGAGTAGGTACCGTAGCCGCAAACTGGTATGCAGTCATCTATGCTCTTGGAACCCTCTTCGCGGGTGTACGTACCGAATGGGCAACGGAGACAGGATCCTTGCCGGTCACTGTTTTGGTAGAAGCCTTTCGGGCAGGATGTACATTGCTTTTGCTTCTCACCGGCGAACGTTCCCGCTGGACAGTGCACTGGAAATGGAAATAAAATAAATTATAGCTTGTTCGGTGATCGGGTTTTTAAAAAATCATTTTTCTGCAATTCTTTTGGTAATAACTGGAAGTTCGATACTTTCTGAAGATCATGTATTGAAGAATTAAGAGAATACTCACAGCATCGTGGAACGTCGTTAGTGTCCATGTTCAAAACTTCGCCGATGCTGCAAGTGAAACCTCGAGTGATGGAGGATTTTAGAGCTCTTAGTGGAGGGCACTGGTTGCCTATGGCAGACACGTTTAACAAAGGCTCTATCACTGCGCTCGTAGAAGGAACTGATAAATCGAAGATCAGATTCAATGTCGATCCACAAAGATCGTATAATTGTGGTTGACGTATAGCTGGAACGATGACAAGGATGAAGTCCATCTGAAATTCATGTCATCAATTAACAACTCGCAGTTTAATTGCCCCATTAATAATGATTACCAGAGAGGGATGCGTACGAGCGTTATGGAAAAAATTGAGATAGATTAGGATAGTATAAGGTAAAATTAGATTGTAGGAATAGGAGTCAACGAATATGTAAAATAATGATTACCTTCAACACATTTTCCTCGAGCAAGAAAGGCACCGATCTTACGAACGATACATTCATATTCACGTTCACAGCAGAGCAGCGTTGTGTCAGAATGTTATTCAAATTCATGTAGTACTGCGACATGAGATCTTGATATTGCGGCAGGCAAGATCTCGAAACGGCACCGTTTGCTCGATAAGTTACCGCGGCTACTACGTGATAATTCGCCTGTTGAGTGTCTGTAAAAGAAAAACAGGACATTTAAAGAATATGTATATTTTAATCAAAGTCCAAAATTCGGTGGACTCACTTTCCGAGACACAGTCAGGTACCACCGAAGACGGGGACCAGTGTTTAGCAACATCACAGGTGAACGTTTTCACTGGTGCACCATCGGTGAATCTGTACCCGTTTTTGCAAGTGGCGATGCATTGAAGTCCTTTATCACCAGGTACACACTTTAATCCCCCATTGGCCGGCGATTTCAATTCCCAGTCAACGCAGGGTGTCGCTTGGACAGAGACTTGGAAATGGCACACTGCTCTGTTCCCACTCGAGTCCGTGGCGTAAACGGTCACGTTCTCGAAACCACCGATCTGTATCACTGCTCTTTCTGGTACGAATGTGATCTTCACTGGACCAGAAGCATCCGTCGCATTGATTCTTCTACGCGTTTCGTTGAAGTTTACACTGTAGCTCTCCTGTCTTTCTACCAATTCTATCACGTAGCTCTGTGGGCAGCTGAGCTTCGGCGGCGTCACGTCTGTAAATTACGAAACAAACATTCAAATAATATTCTAAACTGGGATCGCCCGCGTATTTCCTCCCGTCACTCAAGTCACTATATGAAAAGATAAAAGCCATAGTAGTGTAATTCACTTTTCGGAATTGACAAATAAATGAAATTCTCTAAGAGCAAAAAGAGGTTTTTAAAACCAGTGAAGTAGCGACTAACCAGGTACGGTGATGTTGATCTCGCAAATGGCCACGTTCCCATCGTAATCAAACGCCACGTATTTCACCACAGTATCCTGGAACACCCTAAGCGGCGTCCTGAAACTATGAGGTTTTACTTCCAATCGAGCGATGCTTCCACTGTTATCGATAGCCGTCGGTTCAGTGAAATTCACGGGTAATAATCCACCATCAGGTCCCTTTTGCACGACAATCGGTTGCTGAGGGCAATTTTGGAACACCGGTGGCTCATTATCCACGCACGGTGAGAAACCATAATCGTAACCCAGTAGTGGTTCCGCGACTGGTTCTTCGCATCCCATTAGTTCAAACTTCAAGCAAGCGTTGTCCATGTAGCTAACTATTCCGAGGATCACGAAACGAGCTTGGACGTATTTAGGCAAAGTGATCATCGCTAGCTCTCCGTAATTCCCAGGGTCCCTCATGGTCAGGTTGAAGTTAGGGAAGTAGACCACGTAATTCTCGATCTCGCTCTGTTTGTAGAAGAACCTGATCTCCGTCGGTCTGCCAACGACGTCGTTCGTCACCACGCCTTTAACTAAAATCGCTTTCACCCTGTAAACTTGGCCCAAGTCGACGCTGACGTAAGTGAAAGCTTCTTGTTTTCCACACCACCCGGTCACGGAGTTCAGGCGAACATTCTTGGCCTCGTAGTTCGGCCTCTCCGATGTCGCATTGATCGCTGAGTCGGGAATTCGACCGGAAGCGAGCCCGAGAGGCTTTACAACTTTGCACTCCGGTTCTCGAACGCAGACTATCGGTCTAGGATTGATCAGTATGTACCCTGGCCTACTGCAACCAAACTGAACTTCCGATCCCTGTTCATAACTTCGTGCTATCTGGAAGCCGTCGCTGGGTCTTCCAGGATCTTCGCAGACTGGACCCTCGCATCGGAGGTTCCCGAAGTCCCAAATGGCATTAGCTTGACACCTGACCACGTTATCGTGTCGGTTAGTCTGCCCAGCTAGTTTGAACGTGTCCTGGCATCCGAAGAAGAAGGAGGATTGGTATTTGGTGTCTAAATATTGACCGTACTCGGCTCCAGGAGTTGGCAGAGGTTTTCCACAGTCGGCCCTCGGACAAGCTGGTTGCGATCCTGATAGCCAGTAATCTGGCAGGCCAGGTTTAGGGTCGTACACACATTGGCGGAAGCCTGAAGTAGCTGTGTTTCGAAGGTATCGGCCGTTGCTGTTGCACTTCAGTGTCACGTTCTCTTTGAATGGTACCAAAACACTGGCTTCGTCGGTACGAATCACGGATAATCCCTCGTTCTTGTCGTCTGGCAGCGATACGCACTTGGCATCTGTAAAAATAACAACATTGACCGATTCTAATGAAACTTTACACATACATATAATTTAAATACATCTGCAAATAGTCCTTCTCTTACTTCTTTGAGATTTTCATCAATAGCAATTTTTTTAATTTTTTTTTTCGATCCAATATTATAAAAATCATTTTAAACTGTCTCCTAATATTAATGAGAGTAACTGTACATCGGTCTGTGACTGATTTCTGTACTCCGATTAATAACTAAATAAAAAACTAAACTTACATTGGCACTCTGGAGTGGTTCCGTTCCAAACTCCGCTCGACGTGCAGATAACAGCAGAGGATCCGGACAGTACGTATCCGAAGTTGCACTGGAACTTCACTAGATCCCCAAAGTGATGCTGTTGCTGTAGAAAAAGACACGAAATAAAATCATAAAATAAAATGATCGCAAAAAATAAGGAAAATTCGAACCTTGGTCGACAATAATTTCCCGTTCTCCGGCGACGCGAGTGCTGGGCACATGACAGGCACGCAGGTTTTGTTCTTCTGATATAAATCGCCGTCCCTTTCACCGGTTTCGTATCTCTCAATATAAAAACCAGCAGTCCCGTTCCCTTTGTACAATTCGTATCCCGTGTTGCACATGCAAGAATAGCTCCCAGGATTGTTTATACATTTCTGCTGGCAGCCGCCGTTATTAGTGGCGCACTCGTTAATATCTGTGCACTCTAAACGGGTGCAACCCATGATTTCGAGCTTTAGACAGGGCGCGCCAACGTAATCTTGAATACGGAATCTTAGATAGCGAGCTTCGATCGGAACAGGCAGATTCAGAACGGACAAAGTTGGTTCGAGTATTCTGAACTCCACCGGTGTTCCATCTGGATTGGTATAATCTTTAAAGGTGTCAGTCAAGTTGTCGGTATACTGAATTCGAACTGCTGACGTGTAAGCTATGTTCCCATCGACTCTGGAAACGATCTGCGTACGGAAACCACGGATGATCGTTGGAGCCTTCATGTCGATCATCACCCAGTTTGCACCTGGCTCGATGTTGTTCCCGCACCATCCGTCACCATTGTTCAAACGTATACCCTGTATTAAAGTTATTGAGATTAAGGAAAATGAAATTCAAATGTCTAATTTATTTCTTTTTGGTTACTCACGGTTTTGGTATATCCGTTCTCAGAACTAGAAACTGTGATAGATTCGTCTGAAATACCGCCATTGATTAATCCGAGATCGCCTATTGGCCTGCATTCCATAGTTGGAGCGAAGCCAGGCTTGCACTTGCACGTAAACGCGCCGGGATTGTTGAGGCACTCCGTCGACGCCAAATCGCATTGGCTTGATGCGCATTCATTTATATCTGCGTAGAATAAATATATAATATACGAATTTCTGATACAAACAATTTTATAACTTCGGAATAAAATTGAATTTGCATAAATTGTATGAAATAATAAAAATTCATGCAAGGATGTATAAATGATAAAACAAATTTCTATGTAGAATTCATTTTTTTAACTGATACCATAAATATTTTGTTTCGCATGATATGCAAAGTACCTTCACAAGTGGGAACGTTGTCGAACTGTTGACTAGGTCCGCATTGTATGATGTTAGACCCGGACAATTTATATCCCCTGTTGCATTGCACTCTGGCCTCGTCGCCATAAAAGTATTCCCTACTCGTGTCGACTACGAAACCGTTCTTGATCGTAGGCAGCAACGGGCACTTTGCACCTACACGGATAAAATAAGCATCATCGAAGCGTATATAGAAACATTTTGAAATCTGTTGCGAACAATGCTTACGAGAACAAGTTGGCACCTCGTCGGACCACGTTCCGTTGCTCATGCAGAGAATTACCGGATGCCCGCTTCTGACGTATCCCGGTTCGCACTCGAACCGAACGATTGTCCCATAGCTCCGTCCGCCTCCGTTAAGAATGGTAATGTTCGAGTGCGGCGCTTCCGGAAGTGGCGAACACTGTGAGGCTGTAAATATAATTAAGTATGAATATACAAGAGAATTTAATAAAATTCTTGTGCGGAAAGTTAAAATTTACCTAAACAAGAAGGCTTCTTTTCCCATCGGCCATCAGCCATGCAAGAGATCTTCTCGGTGGGTCTACCAGATGGGAATGCAAAACCAGCATAGCACTGATAAGTAGCTAAGCCTCGATAAGTAACATTCGAAGATCCGATGGAAAAACCATTATCGATCTGTGGTACCGGACCACAGTAGACTTCCTGACACTTTGGTATATATGTGACGGACCAGTTCCCGCCCGGAAGGCACTCCGTGATGATTTTTGGTTTGCCAGTGGCGAACTCCTGACCCAGGGGACACGAGAACGTGACCGCTGTACCGAACGCGGTATCTCTGCTGGAGGCTAGTGCTCCCTCGCCCGATTGAAGATACGGACAATCTGAAAAAATTTCGTATTTGTGAACTCCGGAAAAGAAAAGTGAAAATACGTATTGGACTACGTGTGTCTGTTTATAAATTTGCATACTGTGTAAAAATTATGCAGATTAAATAAAGTATTTGAAATAATTCATCATTTCATTTGTTTTGTTATTTGAAGTAGGATATGTCGATTCTTGCGAGAAATAATACTGAGATTTTCGCGTTACCTGCTGAGAACTCTGCTTGCCAGCCGGAACTGCTATGAAGAGCATCGGAAGTGAACCTGACCAACATTTCTCCACTCTCTGCAGTCAAAGTGATCTTTGGTGTGGTGCTGGACGTGAAACCGTTCCCAGGATGCAAACGAAGACCATTGGTATTCGGACCATCGTATATCTACCAGAAAAACAAATAAATCAGCAACTATTCCTTCTTCAAACATAAGGAAAACAATGGCTCTGATTTACCTGCACGAAGTCAGTCTTGTGAACGTTGAAGTTGACGAACTTCAACGACAACGGACCTCCCTGAGGATTCTTCACTTTGTACAAACATTCCTGATTGTTAGGATAATCGTTTAAGCCGAACGACGGCGACTGCACTGTGCCGTTTCGGGCAATAATCGTCGCCTTGCAACCCTGAGTATATCTAATACTGAATCCTCTTCTGGAATCGCCGAGGCTTGTCTTGAAGTAAAGATACAGATTACTACCGGTTGACATAATCACTGTGGGATTGTCCTCCGATTTTCCGGTCAGTCTGGCTATCGGCCTGCTCATAGGCGAGTCACCGTCCCTGATTAAAATGTAATCTCGATTCATTTCGAAATCCAAATCCTCGATCTAAAAATTGAAATAGAAAAATTACAATTTCATTAAAATAATACAATTTGTTGGAACTATTGGGTTGGCAATTATGTCCATGTGGGCAGAAGTACACTCAATTTCTTTGACACACAAGGTAGATTAATTTTCTACATTCGTATGGGATGGACTGTCATTGACATCGATCGAATTAATTTACTTAAACCGAACGAACTGATCCGGCAACCCAACATGAAATTGCAGCATGAATTCGGTACCTCCAGCGACATTATGCGACCGGGCTGTGCCTGCAATATGTACAGACACTCTAATCCTCCAGGATAGTTTTGCGGATATCCAGGAGAAGTGAGAACTTGTCCTTGGGGAGTCGCCCGTAGAATCCCGCCACAAGTTTGCGGCTCGGTTTTCCACGAAGCCCGGAAACCCTTCCTCTCCACCGACGAGTCCGTGCTGAATTTGATGATCATGAAGTTCGACGCCGAGATGAACAGCTTATTGCTGAGCTCTTGTTTACCGGATAAGGTGGCGAGGTTCACGGATTTCTCCTCAGTTCTACCGCCGACTAAGATTTGAACTATATCAAAGCTTTTCTCTGTTTCGAACTCTTGGAACTGGAATAAAAATTATAATTAACTTTGTCTTCGGTATAAAAAACATTATATCGAACAATGTTACGATACGTGAACAAAAATGTACCTGTAACAGGATATTGTGGCCTTGGGGCCCTTCCAAGGTCCATTTACAATTGCTAAGGGGTGCATATTTGTGTGGATAATTAGGACTCTCGACGACGTCACCGCTACTTGCCATGTAAAACTGGCAGTTGTTAGGACAGTCTATCTCGTCTGAGAAGTCGCCGCAATCGTCCTGCTTGTCGCATTTGAACGCAGCGTTCACGCACTTCCCGTTCGAACAATGAAAAGAGCCTAAAAAGATTGACGAGCCAAGATATTAATTATCGACATTGGTCCTGTTACTCGATGGATCTGAATCGAGTTATTTACCAGCTGGACAGGCCTCGGCACGACACATGAAAGGGAGCAACGATTCGCACGTGGTCAATTCCCAGGTTTGCCGGTCATCCGACAATGTGACGTCGACGCATTCGCCTGACTGCGGATTCGGCTGCCTCGATGCCCAGAAACCTAAAAGAGCCAATTCAATGTCACTGACGTTCTCGTTTTTTAAAATGGTTCACAGAATTTAATTTGTATAATATTTAAAAAAATTATGTAATAATTAAAAAAAATGTAATAATCATAGAAATCACATTGACCAGTTTATTACATTGAAAAGAGATTTATTTATACCTTTTTGGCGAACGATATTAGGGGAAGCGAATTAAATGAAACAAAATGTTATGCAAATACATAATGCGGTAGACGAGCAATTTGCTCGTACCGGAACAGACATAAAAGCGACGGTATCTGGGCATTGTTGTGGGAAAAGTGTGTCTTCGTGCCGCGTACACGGCGCAGTTCCGCGTTTCCGTGACCTCGATGGAAACCGGCCGGTCTGCACGTGTGTTCGATCGTTGGAAAAGCTAGCGATCCAGTTCCCTAACTCACGCATCATCGATACATCGAAACTCGTCGAACAGTTCAGATTTTCAGTTTCTGATTCAGTCCGAACTTTATCGATGACTTTCATAGATACACAAGATTCAATTTATGCGAATTATTTATATATTTGTGCCGGCTATTGTGAAAATGTTTCTGGTCAATGCGATTTTCATTTGTATTACATCAGACTGATATAAAATATCAATATTATACATAGAGTGTGGATCTTCGTACGAAATAAAACATTTAAAATACTTATCATTTAGATCATTTTTATAATTTTTGGGATGAAATCGGCGGACAGGTAATTTTACAAACCAGCGTATTGGGAGACGAGCATCCCAGCGGCGGATTCGAGCGTGTTGGTTCGTAAATCGTCGAGGGATGCTAGGCCGAGCCAGTAACGATCCAAATGCCGGCCGATCATGCTCGCGGACATGTTGTTCTCGCTGTACGACTCCACCACCATCAATTCGCTGCCGTACCTGTAATCGCATGCCAATTCGTCTATCTCTCTCTCTCTCTCTCTCTCTCTCTCTCTCTCTCTCTCTCCGTTCTAACGTATAATAACGCATCCCGCGAGTTATCTTATCCTGTTTCTTCTCCCTTTGTTCTACGTCCCATATTGAACCATCGATCCATTTTGTATATTTCAAAATGAATGTATAGAATTTATAGAATATCAACTTTATGACAGAATTTTAAGGAGCTAGGGTAGTCACGTGACTTTTTTAACATTCGTCGATAAATTGACGTACGTTTTTCTCTCTGTTTTATTGATAACCAGGCAAAAATAGCATAAAATATGGATTTGCTGGTCTATATTTTTCATTCTTATATGAGAAGACTTTTGGGTCTTCAAGTACCTCTTTGTGAAGACAAAAGTTAATGGCGTACTCTGGTATTGATTTAATTCAGAATGATGTATTTTAGATATAAAAATGCTGATGAACGAAGGCATTGTAACTATGATTTTTCATCTTTTTCGTAACGTTCATAAATATCAGCATTGTCTGATTAAATAATGACCGATGCTTTAACTCTCATCCTTCCAAAGAGGTACCTGACGACTCAAAAATCTACATATGAGGCCGCTTAGTTCTATAAATCTATATTTTTGGCCAATTTTATGGGTAACATTGACATTCTTCCTTATCCCGGCCCTATCGAAGTCTACCTCTTTAAGATTCGATAGTAAAGATAATTGTGAAATACAGCAACTTGAGGTTGCAACACTAACGCTCGGTACAACGTGATGAGAATATCAGACCACTTACCTCCTGCATAATTCCGCCGCCTTTTCCCAAGAATGCCTGATGTTGAAGAATTTGTAACAATGTGTACCTCTCAGTTCCCATCCTGCGCATAAAACATTTTAATTGTCATAATTCGAATCAATGATCAATCCTTCATAAATAAAAATTGATAATCTTGATAATACAACTTCGTGTTCGTTTCATTTCTTATAATAAATTCACTGGCAATTAGCTTAAATTTAAATTCTAATTAATTTCGCTGATTTTAATATTCGTCCATGAAATTAGAGTAAACATAGTGTAATGAGAGCGTAATATGATAGAGGTATGATATCATCGTTGGGGGATGGATCAGGTGACACGATCGATGAATTTACGAATGAAAGGGTGAAGCCTTTGACGTCGGGTGGGACGCAGGAAACGCGGTTAACCGGTGACCCATACAGACGGTGACGGACATCGACGACCTCGATTGTTTTTTAGTGCGAGCACCGAGAGTCAGAGGTAGGTCGGTGGGTAAACGGGTAACGCATTGTAAAAGAGAATCGACACTGGTGAAACGCTTCGTTTAGTATCAGTCGCGTTGTCGTCCGTCTGATTGTCGAGAAACGTATTGTTATTTTCTGTTTTCTCCATTTCGTGTAATAATTATTAGAACGTGTAGAAAATATGAAAGTATGATGGATGAAACTATGAAAAATATCAATGATTGATAAGAACTTTTGACTATCATTAATATTTTATTTTTCAAAAAAGGATAAGCAGCTTCGTCATTTAGATTTCTATTTATAAATATGAATAAATTAGCTAAAGTGTCAAAAAATTCATTGAATGAAATAAGTAAAAAATAAGAATATGATGGCCCTTGCTTGAGAATATTTTAACGATTATAATTGGTATATGCGTCCGCGCAAACTGTTGATGTCTACCTGCTTTGAACTCGACAAGAAAGAAGCGATGGCGGCCTTCCTTTCATTCAAAAGGTCAAACGAGCATGTTTGCAACGTGTGTACAATTCTCCTTGCACTTATTAACATATCTCGATTTAACACACGCAGTATATTCTCCATTAACATTCCCAAGTCTGACTTTCATCCATACATTATACAACGTTCATATTGCAAAGTGCATATTGCAATGTTTGAATGATAAAAAAACAATGCCTATGTGAAACAGATTTCTTAAACTGATACTATAAATCCGGAATTCGATGAAAATTTAAAAGGGGTCAATAATTATCGAAGGGTTGGTTGGGGTTCGATGCATCGGCGATTGATCTCCATAATCAAGATCCCATCGATTATTAAAAAAAAGTGATAATTAATTGTTTAAAAATGGAGTTCGAGAAAAATATGTCAATATAAAATTGGCTACTGAACCAGCATTATTTAATTTTCTCTCTTCTTATCTAGTGGAAGCAGGCTTTAGTCAAGTCTTAATAACTTACTACGAAAAACAAAAAATAGGTTGAATATCTTTGAACGACATGAGAATTATGTTCAACAATTTTATACCAAATATTAAAAAATTCAATAAATCAAGCAGAGTCATTATATTAATTAAAATCGTACTGTGTAATTGGAATCTATGATTCTATTTCTGAATACTTGTTTATATTTGCAGAATTAGGAATTATAATAGGAAAAAATAGTAAAACATAAATTTAACAAATTATTGTTTTCAAGACTATTGTTCATATTTTTAACTTATTTTATTTATTTTATATTATAGAGAAAAATGTAAAGGTTGTTCTAAAGGGCAATGCAAGAAAAGGGTTGCTAATTTAGTTTATTTTGCGTAAAAGTAAATTAATATCCCTCGGTATAAAGAAGTTCCAATCATCAGCCATTACAACATTCTTCGATGCAAAACTGCCGGTAGTTCTAACGTTAACGGAACCAGTCTCCGTCAGCTGTGCAATCTCTATTTAACCTCTATCGATAAGAATCGTCGGATGATCGGTCACCTGCCGGATGCTCCACTTTTTGGAATCCCGTTCGAGCCGCGAATCAACTGAGTCGCGAATCCGTGCACAGTATATTTTTAGGCTCGGTCCTTCGGCGCCTAACGACTCGACGAAGGAGGAGGAAAAGAAGGATTCACGGTTTAGGAATGCCGTCCCGTTCTCCGCCTTCCTGCTGTTTGGATCCACGTCTACCTGTACGATCCTACGGCCACGGTATGCCATTATCGAGCAGGTCGAGAATTTTGGGCCAGCTGCCCGTTACCACGTTACTGGGAAATAACTCCGGACCGTGGAAACCTCGTTGGTCACGCTCGAAGGATGCAACCGGCCTTGAGCTTGATTTTCGTGGTTTTCGGCTACCTTTAATGCCCCTCAGAATTTATTTCTCACGTTTCTCCGACGAGCTTGTAAAACTCCTTGGAAGCTTTAATTTAGCACTTCAAATTGCAGCCTTCTCAAATTTTTTTTTATTCTCGAGATAAATTATACAGTCCTTCAAGAACCTCAAGGATCCTCGCCGGCATGGCCGAATTAAATTCGCGAAATTCGAACATTCTTGTCTCGTCGTTAGGTCCGGCTTGATCAAAACGTCTCCAGCTCACGCGACAGAACACGGTTAACGACCAAGTATGTAGCTTCATACTGGTATGTACGTACGTGCAACCTACTTAATTGCGCTGCCAGTAACGAGGAAAAGTGGAGCAGCGTTACGAATGGCCGAACTCTTATCCCCGTTGTCCCTCGCGTGATTTATTCGCCGTACGCGTCTCGCCTCGGGCTCGTCCAGTTTTTAAATTCAACTCATTCACTAAAGACGGTACACCGATAACAGAATTAACTCTATCTAAAAGGAAAATAACACTTTTCCTACTTATAGTCTAACAACATTTTCTTGCGAATCTCTTCCCAGCCTCCAGAGATTATTTCAAGTTTTTTCAAAGCATGACCTGGGTTCAGGTGTTTAGGGAACTACCTGGTCAGGTACAGGACTACCAGGTGAGGGTGAATTCTTTTGAAACGGATTTACCTGCTGAAGACAGATGATTCAGGATACAAAGAAAAGTTTTTTGTATTACTCACCGTTCGGGCAGGTGAAGATATTGCTGGATGGAATCTGAAACATAGAAAACGAGCATTAGAAAGCATTATTATAGCATGGTAACATAAGGGATCGTTCCCTTGCTATTCACTCCCGTATGCAAGAATTTCATGCGATAAATTTAATGATCGGTACGTTGTGTAACAGCTGCAAGAAAGTCGAATGAACGTGAAATTGAATATGCAAACGACATTGACAAGTTTCCTAAAGCTAGAAACCACGTTTCGATATCACGTCGATCAGCGACGCGTTTAATTAGCTCGTGACGAAACTCGTAGATGTTTCGTGGGATAAGACTGTGCGAATTGAAGCCGGAAGAGCGCGGGAAACCCGCGTGTTACGACGTCGATTACATAAAAAGTCGTGGTTGTCGCGTCTTCAAAGAGGAAAGTTCATCGTTCTCCTCGATTCATTCCGGCGTTTTCTATTTTCTTTTTTTTTTTTTCTTTCTTTTTCGGGATCAACCGGTGTGGATCCTCGCGGACATGGAAACAGCGCGTGCGTGTATTGTAACATGGGGAGAAAGTGAACAACGACAATCTAGCGGTAAATCTCGGTTTTGCGCCCATCTTCACCGAGACTCACAGGTCGGCAGGTTCGTGAACGGGCAGGCGTACGTGGAACACAGGCGCAAGTTCCCGTGAGTTTTCTTCACGTACCAGAATATCAGTGACATAACGGTCAGCTGCATTCCTTCGAGACGTGCGATGAGCCAAGCCGAGAAGCGGTAGAATTCCAATCGGAGAGATTCTTTATTTTCCGAATTTTAAAAAAAGAATAGGATAGTCGATAGATGGACTGTTCAGCTAATCCTGAAGGTTTGCTTTTTAGAATTAACTATTTCGAAAAATCATAATTGTTGTGCAAATGAAAAATAAACATAATGAAACTAATTGAGTAAAATGACGGAAATTGTACTAGTAATTCTTATTAAAAATAAATGGATGATAGTATTGATAAATATTATTCTTTGCATAGAAAACTACCTTAAAAACAATTTTTCTTTTCTAATTACTGTTTGATGTACGTTCACCTGTCTAGTAGATAGTATATACTGGGCACCATCAATCTACTTGCTTACCCTAAAGACTTTTAGTATAGGGACATAGTCTTCATTTTCATTCATCAAATTAAAGAGGGTTTATTAACAAATATTTACTGAAATTAATTTGGCAGAATAAGAAGTGGAATATCAAGGCACTGTTCTTCTCTACTTGCCTATCCTAGAGATTCTTACTATGAAAACATAGTCTTCATTTTTATCTATCATCGTAAAAAGGATTGATTAATAAATATTTAATCAAATGAAATTGATATAAAATGCAATATCAACGAAATTAGAGATTCTCTTCACAAATGGACTTTCAAATAAATGTAAATAATAGTTAACTATTTTCATATTACAATTTCTGTATTTATACCGTGAGTAATTATTAAATTACACTTAATGACGATAAAGATACAAAAATAATGACATGAAAATAATGAAACAACGATGGAGAGTAAAGAATGCTGTAGCAATATATAAAAACAATAGAACAAGGAATCCTTTCCCTGACTGGTGCTTCCTATACTCGAAATGTTGCAATTGTATAGTTGGTAACATTGTTTGCGCGCCGGATAGGGCACACGCGTTCACGGCTCGGTCTGAAATTCACTTTCACCTCACACACGCCGCGTCCACGTCTGCTGAGCAAGCGGCCCCGGTCGCGATGGTAAACTCCTGCGAGGTCGAGATGCCAACTACTTCGTACTCGAAACGCTCAATTTCTCAAGAATTCCTAACCGATCTTAACTCTCTATGATAGGAGATTGAAGATCCTCCGTTTTGCCTAAGAAACCTTAACGAGATCTTCAAAATATTCTTTCCTTCGATCATTTCTTCTTATCTTAAACATGGCATTCTATTACAAACTCGTTATACTAGATTTATCAAGATCTATCAACAATTTCTTGTTTCCTATATTTTGATCCCGATAGGATATATTTATTAATGATTCGATTTCATTTCTCAGGAAGTTCTAGGTAAACTGGACTTTATGTAATAGAAGATTAAAAATCCTCCATTTTATCCAAGAAACATTAACGAGATTTTGAAAGTATTTTTTCTTTTCATCATTTTTCTCTATCCTAAACGTGGTACTCTATTATGAACTCGTTATATGTAGTAGATAAGATTTGATTCATTAATATCTATTAATAGTATCTTGTTTTCCATAATTTGCTCCAGATAGAAATGATTATTATTACTATATTACTATGTTACGTGTATATTAGACATTATAAAAAAAGTAAATATGTAAAATAAATTTTTTGAGTATTTTACTTTATAAAAAGCCACTTTTACCACTAAAGCATTGAGATACATTTCCATCTTTTGAAATTCTGTATATTTTTGTATATACATACAATATTTTTATTTTCTGTACATTGAATTTTCTTGTAAAATTCGAAGTCTAATAACTAGACTGATTTTATGCATTTACGGAAGAATTGAATAAACAAGAAATAAAAAAGAATGAATGTAATCTATTAAAATATATGAAATATCAAAAGCTGCATGCATATCACAAAGCTTGAACGGTGAAAGAAATATATATGTAAATCGCATTATTCAAATTCGTACCATAACGTTTTATTTTGCATAAAACCTGCAGAGTACTAATGACTAGAATGAACTAGAATGAACTTCTATTATTCAATAAGTGTATCACAAATAGAATTTAATAACAAATCCTAAGAAAATGGTAATAAAAAGTTGCAAGCCTACTTTTCAACCTATATCCGTTCGCCACAGTTCGCACGATTAAACAAAGGCGAACGCTACGTCATCGAAAACTCATAATGGAAGGATAATCGACTCACCTGAGATTCCGTTAGCTGAAGATGGCACAAGAGGACGGCGAGCCATACGGCCGCCAATTCTCTTATCAGCATATTCCTGTAACAGAAATAAAGAATCTCGTTTGAGTGACCTGTCGCCTGCGTTCTATTTGGAGAAAGAAACCGGAGGAAGAGAAACAGTGTTTGAACAAGTAGTATCACTCTGGAACGGGGCAGACCTTGACACTTCCAGAATGCATAATTCATACTCGTACGTGTCTGACATTTAAAACTTTAAGTAAGAACAAAATGTTCTTATATAATTCAACAATGAAAGCCTACTTTCTATCAAGCTACGAATAAAATATTTTCATCTTATCCAGCTATCCAGTAATTATTTACGGGTCATTAAACAGTAACGAATAATTAGGGAAAGTGAAACTGTCTCAGGGATTACGACAGCCTCTTCGTTGATGACAGACGTGTTATATAACAAGTATCAGGTGTAAAATTGGTGATCATAACTCGTTAACGACGATAACAGCAGCGCTCGGTGTAATCAGGTAAGTTCAACGATAGTTATCGTACGGCGAAACACGCGGAAGATAAGACCGCGTTCTATGTATAGGAATTGTACACCGGTTCCCATAAAATTCCTTACGGTTTCTGCGGCTGAATTGTGGCACACCAGTTGCATACCTCGCCGCGTAACCGAGAACCGTGATAAATCTCCCGGACATCGGGTTATTATTTAATGACGACGCACTATGCCTAGCCGTTTACGGTCCCAGTCGTAGTTACACTGACGTTAATTCGGTACAAATCGTCTAACGCTTTGTCTATCGGATAATTAGGTGCTATTTGTCTCTGGCTCTATTATCCTTTGTTTGGAACGTAGCTTATGACTAGACTGCGGATTTTAGATCTGCAGAAAACATGAAGACTGCAACGTGCGTGTGCAAAATTGTGCAGAATATGAAAAAAATATCGTTAAAATTATTAAAGGTTTGAATTTGCATTCCATTTTTTAAATTGACATCAAATGTTTTATTTTGTATAAAAATTCGCTATCTGTGGTAAATTACTTTGCGATCATCGGATAAATAATGTTCTTAGTTGGTTAACTAGTTAATTGGTAAAGAATTGAGTAATCTAATATTCTGAACTCCACCGAACCGGGGATTTCATCAGCGTCTACACATTTTTAACCGAGGAACGATTAAACGAAGCGCGAGGGACAGAAGAGAAGGGCAACGACTTCGATTTCTCCGTGGAGGAACACGCGCGTTGTTCGTCGCAGGAGGAATGGAAAGACATACGGTCCGATGGATCCCCATGGTGAACCGTTATGTTTCCACCGATAATCGACGAACCCGTGGCAACGGCGACGTGAAGGTGGCACTCCGGCCAGATTTCCCGCAAGCGTAATCGTAATCTACGACTTCGGCAGACTTCCTGTCGATTGCAGCCTAACGGGTCTTCCGGCCAGGTCGACTGCGTCCTGTCGTTGCCGCGTCGGAACGCATCGCGCGGATACGAATAAATCGGCGCGAATCGATTAGAGGAGCGACCCAATTATACTCGACGGAGGAAGCAGCCAGCGAATACCGTTACCGGGTATCGAGAACGTGTGGCTGCATTGTCTAACTGCGGTTAATTAACTCTCATCTAACTCCCGAATCTAAAGATTTTACGCAATGTCTCATTACCTTTCTCGGTTTTAGTACAGCTGGTAACAATAAATCTGAGCCAGCTTGTGTTAATTTCTCCTATGGGGGACAAAATTCAAAACGAGTAACAAATCTATGGCTGGTATTCAGAGTCGATACTTATATTTAAGATCGCCTTGAGCATTTGCTTAAGTCTCTGTTTTTTATACACGACAGGGACTGGAAGTGTGGGATAGACAGGGTTAGCAAAGGATGTATAGGCTATATACTTAAACTATTAAAAAGCTATCTGCAAAATTTTAAATCAATTCATGGGTTTTTTGAAAAATTATAGTGACTTAAAATTTGCATGTACTCTTATGTACATCAGCCAAAGAAAACTTTCTGGTATTTGGTGTGCACGCACGAAGTTAAAAGAACTGACTTGAGGAAATACAAACCTAAAAAGTTTGGAATTTTTGACGCCTTTTAGAATATATTTCGATATTTTTCGATATTTTGACAAAAAAAAATTTTTTGATTTTTTCGAAATT